ATTTTAACCTTTTTTATTTGTAACCGATGAAGCACCACATTCCTTGATTGAGCTTGAGCAAAACTGTCAAGCTAGTACTTTTTAGTCTCACTGCTATCGATGTTGTCCGCAGAAATAAGAGAGAAAAATGTTCTTTTAACTTGAAAAAATTACCTTACAGAACTAAGTGAAATTTTAGGAGAAAAGAAACTCGTTTTTTTATATCTCGGTAAAATTGTTTATCTTTGATAAATACACAAGTAGTATTTTCATAACTTTCATTATAGAAAAATATAAAATTAATAAAGATCGTTGATAAAGAGTTTATCTACATAAATTTTATGTAAAAATAATTGAGTTATATTTACAAACGAGAAATTGAAATGTATACGAAATTGAGGTAAAACATTTTTTTAAAATTCTGTAAAAAATATTTCCAATTTCAGTGCCAGTTCCACCGTCGTACAAAACTAAAAGAGCGCAAAAATTCACGAAAGCTGACGAATGAGGGCGAGCATAAGATTAGGATGAATGATACCTATACCACGGTATACTTCTCTATAACAAACATTCGCCACGCCAGGTGCGAATTCGCTGGATTCGCTCTTTCTTTCTGTTTTTCACCGCTATTAGCGCGCCGGGTGAGTACAGCTCTCGTTCTTCTCTCATAGTCTGCTTTTCCACGTCCCCGGACGCTTCTCTCTCCTGGCGCTGTCTCGTTTTCCTCCGGCTTGCAGCCTTGAATAATTTGATACGCAGCCGCGAGCGCGGGCGTCCAGCAACGTTTGCTCTGTCCACAATTTATGAAACAGAACTCTGGTGTACAAAACGTGCGCGCGGACTCGCCAGTCTTCGTGTTTACCGAGCTTAGCGACAAGGATGTACGCGTCGCGTCGGGCGCGCGCACACCGCGCACCGCCTGCCCGACCACTCGTTAGCGTTGGTACGTATTGCTCATTGGGTGTGGCACTTGCACACAGCATACGCGTGGTCACCCCCTGCTCACCTCGGCCGCGTGTGCCTCTATTAATTATAAATACATGCAATACATACATCGTCTGGTACAACTCTCTTTTATGTACAAGAGGGCTCTGTGACAAATGGCTTCTCCCCACATAACCCATTAAACACACTGCATGAATATATAGGTATGTACGAAAATGTACATTTTACCAATTAACGATCATATTCATCGGCTCTTCGATATCTTTTTTGATTGGTTTGAACTAGTCATTAAAATTGAAATCATTAAAAAATTACCTACCCTTTACAAATGGATGAAAAAGTTTAAAAATTATGAGAAGTGTTTTATTTTATATACAATTTTATTGTTATTAAAACTGTTTAACTTATTAAAAGCTTAAATATTTCCAATGAAAGTAAGTATCTCATGGCGATCCATTCACTGTATCAATTGTTTCCCTCACTGAATAAAAATCCCCTTAATTTGTTTTCATAATCTTTTGAGATGAGTGGATTGGTACACTTAAGGAATGTACGCAATTATTATTTTTCACGAGAAAAATATGTTCGAAAATTATCCCCATTAACTTTTTTATTAGAAAATATATTGATTTCAATATTTAAGTAAAAAAACCATGTGTACAATTTTTATACATATTCATTTTATAAAGAGTAATAATCGTATAAAATTCTTATGGGTACAAATCATGTCTCGTCATCAAAATTAAATATAATTTTTATACAAAAGTCTTTAGTTCTAAAATAAAAACATACCAAAATATATTAATTCCAGAAAAACATGCAAAACATGAGTAGACACAAGTTGTACGAATTCAAATGTTATGTGTTAAAAACTCACTAGATGATTAAGTGCTGTTTTAATAATTTAAGTTTTAACCGAGAAAAAAATTAAGCTTAAAATTTGTTGATAATTTATTGCAAAAATTTGATTTTGAATTAAAAATATTTTGAAAGTGTGTTTTTTTTTTTATTTTTCTATGAATGTTATCGTATGTGAGTGAAAATAAAATTATGCATAAGCCCTGTACAAGAATAAAATTGTTCTCAGGAGTCCTTCCAGTGAAAATCGAGTACGTGAAAAGGGTGCGTCTCTAGGGCGATTATCAAATAGTTTTCATTTGGGAATAGAGTTTTTACGAGGTGTCAAGATGGGCCAAGTTCCTTTTATGCGTGTCTGTAGAACTTCTACCTAAAACACTTTCAACTAGAAGTTTACGCATGTTTACTAATGATGGTTGATCTAAGTGTAAATTTGATTTGACAATTATTTTTGCATCACCATAATTCTCTTATATGCTAGTTTCATCGTTTGTTTTTCTTTGGAGATACAATAATTTACGGTAAATGCGCACAAAGCTTGAAAAATAAAAAACATGAGCTCATTTAAATGAATTTCATTCGCAAAAACTCGAATATCGTTTTGAGAAAAAACTTCAAATCCAGGGTAAAATTTAAAGTTTTCAAAGTAAGAGCACCATAGATTTTAAATTATATATACGTTCCTCGTTATTTTTATGATTTTGAGAGTACGATATATCTTTTCAGAAAATTTTTGATAAGAGCTTCGCAAAACAGTTTTGAAAAATTCATTTGCCTCAGTTTCAAGACCTTTTTTATAAGCTTTTTGTATTAATAAATGGAAATAAAAGATTGCTTAACCCGCTTCGCACTTTTAATAACAAAATCCTCCGAATAAAATTGTTATAAAAGATTATTGTGCTTTATGTATACTCTCGACGTTACAAAGAAACTTTTCTCGTCTCAGTTTACTTATCTTTTGACGCTGAGGGCATGACTCGGCTGCACGCTTAAACGATGTCATCGTCATGATACGCGAAAGCAACGCACGCCCCGTGTCGCCGCCGCTGAGACATCACCGACTTCCTGATGAATACCGTGTTATATTACACTTCGTCGAGTACAGTGTACATATATTCGTACAAGTAAACGATGATCTGTTTGCACAAACTAACAACATAGAAAGAGCATCGCTATGCTGTCACGCGCATGTGTCTCGAGCCATTTAGCACAAGAGGATGCTAGTAGATGAATTCATTTGAATTATGTAGAACATTTTCGTGCCAACCTGATATTTTTTTCCTTTACATTGCAAAAAAGTATTTTTCGCAATTAACTTTGTCATTTTTATTTTTCATTTACATTGTACTTTTACCGTTGAAATGAACTGTGCGGACATATTTTACACGTACAATTGCTTACAAAACATCAAGATTGCTTAGTTTATTACTAATTTATTCATTTATGGTTTATTTTGTGTATAATGCTATCAAAAAAACAAGTTATCATCGACATGCTTTGTACTTATGATTTCATTTGCAAAAGCTATATTTAGTCTATTTTCACATTATTTTATATTTGATCGTACTGAAATAATTTTAATTTTTATAAATTAAAATATAGTTTAGCTTAAGCTTTATGATTTAAATAAGATATTTTCAATTTTACCTTGTATCTTTTTTTAAAATAATTATATGTTATAATCAGAATGTACTATGATGGTACTTTATGCAGCTCATTTGCTTAGGAAATTTTGAATTTCTGCAATTTTGTTTGATCTTCACGTAAAAATAATAGTCTCTTCACACGCAAGTAAGTGCTGCCCGTATAATTTGTAAAAATTGCCTACGTGTTGGGATGCGCAATAAAACAGCAACTAAAATACAGCCTATACTAAACTGATACACAGGATCTGTTCGTCTATATATGCTATGTAATACCTGTGTTGATAGGTGTTCATCTACATCGTAAAGCTCGAACGAGAAGAGAAAAGGGATATATAGAAAGCTCGGCTATCATCTCACATGGTTACGTGCAAAATAATATTAACGAATAGAGCCATGTACGTACACATATTATTCAAGTACGCTTATATATACTTGGAAGATTTATAGCGTGTATCGAAGATTTATTGTACGCCACAATATAAGAAGTTTGATTTGTTACTTAAGTGCTTATTTTGTCCTCACAACCTAAAATTCACGCTTTGATTTCAGGCCAGTTCCATTTACGTATATACACGTGCGTTTACTCTTCTTCGTGACAATTTTTCCATTAAAACTTTTGGGACTTTTCATAAAATATTGTCAAAAAAAAAAAAAAAAATAGTAAAGCGTACCTATCTGAGTTAGAGTTACTACAATATTATTTGCATTTTTTAATTTTCAACAGATATTGATACTTGGCTTGCTTCCATCAGATATTCCTACTACGGAGTGCTGTAAAACATAGGTTGTCCCAGCTCTTCTGCACTTTAAACTTTTATTTTTTTTTCAATCGTGGATATAACCCTTACACTATAGTAACATAATTAGATCAAATCATTTCTTGTTTAATTTTGCAATTATTTTTGTTTATTCAACTAAAATTTAAATAAATTTAATGTAACGATATTAAATATGAACCCGCAAATTTCATACGAAATTAACTTCAAAGACACGTATTTAATCAATGTTTCAACAAACTGGCAAAACAATTTAAACAAATGGTACACAATTTATTTTTTGAAGAAATAAATCACAAAGATGGATTGAGAATCGCGATTGTCAATACTAGGCGGTCAATAAATAAGCTTATTGAACAGTAGAAAACAAAAATTATTGACAAAATATGATGGAACTTCATGAACAAATTTGTAGATGCCTCTGTTCGATGTGAATACCAATTTTGTAGAAAACGAATGACAGCTGTCCGAACTAGAAATATCTGGTGATCAATTTTCGACGGTGATCACGCACAAAACGCATATAAATGTCGATATTTGCTTTCAATACAAAAATTGTCAAATATTTTAACTTTTTTTTTTAATTACTTGTAATGGAATGTTACTCACTGTACTGTGACCATCCTGCATTTGTTAAGTGATATGCCGGTTTTCAAACGTTGATGCTTTAGATTTTCATTCCCTACTAAAAAAATATATACGTCTATAATAATAATTTCTATTGAAGTATTTAATATAATAAACTGTACAAGGTTTATGAAAGATATACAGATTAAATTTTTTAATTTGACTTTATTCCCATAATAGAAACATTAACAACAAAAACACAATGTCTCAGTGTAGAAAGTTCCCTATATCCATTTTTTTAATTACATGGTGATCAATGATTGAATTTGAACGTACACGGATGGTTTTAAATGAAATATTATTTTTCTCTATACCATAACTTAAATTTCAACGAAAAAAACCATCAATTTATATTCATACATTTAGTATAGTATATCACAATTGCTTTATAATCTAAAAATTAAAAACTACTCTTTAAAAGTAAAAAAATATCAAAATTATATTTTTAATAAATCATAGAAACGATTTTCTGAACGAAGAAAATCGCATATTTACACTCATCGACGATTCATCGTTTTCGAATAATCAATTAAAATACACAGAGTAAATAGAAATACGTCATCAAAGTAAATTATATCATCATGTTGAATAATACAAATCTCTTGAATGAAACAAATGAACAAATGAACTATTCAGGAAAGTTAATCAAATAATGATGCGACGCGAGCTCACCCACTACCTCTCCCCAAGTTTAGCAAACATCAATAAGTAATTCAAGTAATATATTTGTTAATCAAAGTAAATGCTTTTCTTTTTGAAAATTTAACGTTAATAGATATTCTATCTATCTCGCGGATCTTAATCTGTTCAGCCACGAAATAATCGATTTAATTTGACGATATATTTTGACTTTGATGGCGATTTTTCTCTTTAAATACAACAAGATCGTGATTCACCTTAGATTAGCTCTCTTAACTTGACTTTCTAAATATATAGATAAATAAGAAATAAACGTATTTACATTGTAAACTCAAATTATTATGATCTATCTGCAGACTAGTCGATTAAATTAAAAAAAATCTTGTGACTTTTCGAATTTCTAAAACAGTCGATTTATTTTCAAAATTGTTGTGTCGGAGCTGTATTTACCATTTATTCATTTGAACATTCAATCTAAAAGTTTTATCTTCAATATCTTGGACGTAAATGCTTGTATAGACGAGATTATTTGTCCTCAGATTTTTCTTCCTTTATATAATAATATTATTAAATAATACATTTTTTACATCTTTAAATATATTGTGTAATATTTTATTAATTCTAAACTATTTATTACCATCGCATAACTTAGTGTAAAAGACCGTATGGCTTTAAATTTGATTTTTATTTATACACGCATCAATGACTTCAGAATAAAACTCTCAATACTTCATTACCTTTTACACAAACAGACGCACGCACACGCACACACTTAACGAGTGCTATCTTACAATTCTTTCTTAACCAATATGAGCCGACGTATATAGTTTGTTCGAGTCGTTTCATTTGCTTTTCTCTTCAAATTACGTTTATTGCTAATGCTATACTGGGAGTTTAAAATATATATGGATTTCCGTAATTTTATTTCCCAATATAAGCTAATAAAAGCAATTCATTTATAAACTTGCGAAAATTGGATGTTTGTCGATATACACCGAGTGATCATGATGTTGTGTAGCAATGAGTGGCGACAGTGACACGCACAAGAGGAACGAAACGTGTACTTCATCACCTATAAATCATGCATAGGGATTATTGAATCGTATTGTAAAACTCGTGAACTCTCAGCTCCTCTGAATTTCTATGTTCCACTAGTCCAGTGAAAATGCAATTACTAAACAAATCGTATTAAATCTGCAATTATTTTTGCATACGTCTCATATTCGATATAATTAATTCATAAGCTAAACATTTACAATTGTATGTCAGGCAAGGTTATTCTGCTGCACAGAAAAAGCGAACAATTCAAGATTACATAAGTCGACGATCATAAGCAGCATAGATCGTCGAAATTCATCTCACATGTGAACGCATTTGTTGGAAAATTAGATTTTTTCCTGCATGCCTATTCGGTGAAGCCAGTCACGATTTGTTTTGCGGTCTGAAACATCTATAAGTATATGTTGTATTATTTTTTTTACTTTGTGAATGTATGTACATGCACGTATATCTGTTTCCAATTTTTCATTGTGCAGAGAAAAGAAGGTGTACAAGGGGCAAGAAAGAGTTAAGATCGGGTGGCTCAGCGATGCCGACGAAGCCCTGAGAATTCGCTCTACACGTGTATCTATCGAACTCCCACAATCACACTCGAGTGATTGTATGTGTGTGCAGCCACAGAAAGACAGAGAGTGTGAAAAAAGAGGTATTTTCCAAGCGCTCGCACTCGAATCACATTTATTTTTCCTTCAGACAGTAAATGCCCATCTCTGTGCACACGTGTGCATGCATGTGATCGTGAATTGGTATATACTTGCACATACAAACATACACGCACCTACCTAATACATACACACATGTACATCTCTAGACCAAAGTGTTCGATCTTACTCGGATTATCACGCTTCTTCTTCAACTGCTACTTTTGTGCGGTCGTTACGGTATTACCTGTCAAGTACTTACGCCGATGATTCCGCAGCTGCCCACTAAGTCTGTCTGGAATTTTTTCTTTATTTTGCACGAGTCTCTTCTTGACATGCTTCGGAGATTCAAACAAACAATTCATCGCGCATAGCCATTCATAAAAAAGTACTATGCTAATGGCATCGACTTTTATTGCCGCGCATCAATATATTTTGACAACTGCACAGAACACATTCTTGGCTTTTAGTATCATCTCATTTTTTCTGACATGTGGCTTCGATTTTTCAGAGTAGGGTGTATATCTATTTTCTTTTCATTTATAATACTTATCTTAATACTTAATTTTATTTTTATTTGTAACGAGATTTTCTTTTTATTTGTGATTTGCCGCTAAATTTGATGTTTTGTTTTACAACGACGATATGTACAAAATGATGAGCGACACCATTAGACAGCTCGAAGAAAGTATAGGCCCTGCCGTGCCAGTCTGCATAGCTTCTGGTCGTTCACCTGAAAAGCAAATGTCAAATATCAAAGTTTATTTCGAGACAGAATTTGCGAACATTTTTACAGTAAAATCGATAAGTTTCTTGCTAACATAAAATAAAACCATATCTTGGTTCAATAGGTTAAAGAAACTTGATGGATAACGAATTTTTTCAAATCTGTAGCAGTCAAAATTTCAATACTCAGGGTGTATGTAGTTTTGATGTGTTGAATTTTTTTTCTGTGATTCTATTATTTATTCTTATAAGTGTTGGCAACAAAATAATTACACGCATTAGATGAAAGGCAAAATATAGCATTGCATAATGTTTCAACATAAATAAGTTTCACACGAGTTACATTCGAGTAAAATAGTACGTAGCTACTTTTAAAACGGGAACTGAAGTTTTTAGAATTTTATCATTCCTAACGCCAGTATTTGATGATTTCATGCAATGAAATCTCCCAGATCACTATGCAAACGAACTTTTTATATGAATTATAAATTATTTGTCTATTTTTGCGCATGTGATTTCTCATTTGGTTGTTGATTCGCATCTCTCTAAATGCCGTGCTCATTATAATTTCTGTAAGTGAACTCTCTTTTTTATACCAGCGATTTGTTCGGACTCTGTTCTTTTTCTGGCCAAAAATTTTTGCAACGCAGATAGCGCTTCTATGCAACTACGAATAATACACGAACTCGTAAATAATGAATACAGGTATAAAAATAGGAAACAACTCATCAAAACTGAAACAATTGAACAAACATAAGCCTCGCGCTTTTATGCTGAACAAAAGAGAAGATAAATGCAATAAACAATTTGAGAGTGAAAACTATTCTTTTACACAATCCAAGTACAAAGCAAAATTTGTTTTCTTCGTCCTTCAATCTGCAGTATAAATATAAAGCAAACACTCCAACAATAGGTACGTGCACTCTGCTGCAAGATTGATTGAAAAGCTTCAATGTATATACAGCGCTCGATTGAAGCTTTGCACATATTATAGGGAAGAGTCATTCAAAGATAGAAACGCGCGAACCAATACTACACTGCAACGAAGATGCGTCTCTGTGTCGATGTCGACTCACAGCGATGACACATTCGAATTACGAAATATCGTTGATAGTCATCATTTACTATATAAAAGCACGTAATGCAACTACATTTACATCCATACTTGCGAACATATTTAATTTTTTGAATTCCTCATATAAAATCGGAGAAGCAATATATTCGTTCTGTGGGCTGGGAGCAGCTCGCTTGGGGTGCATACTGCATAACATACATACGTACTGCATGTAGCTGCGTATATGTGTATGGGTACAGCGCGAACAATAAGGCAAGTATGGCTCGCCGACACACGTATTACAAAAAGAGAAAAAACTCGAGCTCCGGAGCTTGCACTGCCACGCGCGTAGAGGCTGCAAAAAAGAGAGAATAATAAAGCTCCAAGCAGTAGCGGCAGCAGCCCCCGTGTCCCAGGGCGCTTTTCTTGTCGAATGTGTACGTACATGCTCGGGTGGCCTTTCATAAAACGAATTGAAATGCAATTTTCGGCGGCGCTCGGCCCGTTACGCGACTCGCTTGCTCGCTGCACACCACCTAGAGCTATACCTGTACCCATCGTGTGCGGTGCATGCCAGAAGCGTTAGACGTCGTAAATCTAATGCGAAAATTCCGCGCTTAGCCTTTGGATCCTTGCGCGCATGCAGCTCGCTGAACGCCCGCCTGCACCGACTCTGGCGCACCCGCATGATCGCATGTATGTGTCTGTAAGCGTGCGTGTGTGTTGTGGCTCTGTACTGAGGCTGCGTCTACGTGTGCATAGGTACTGCGAACTATGAGCAGCGAGTGTGCAACAGCTTCTATGATCATGAATTCACCTACGCTGCACAAATTCGCAACGTTTCAAAGCCACTTGATTGTAACGCGTTACGGCAGTCGAAGAAAAAATGCTCTTTTCCTAAAATACGCAACTTTACCGCTAGTTTTAGGCTTTCGTTGGAAAAAAGTATCAACTGGTGCAGATATGGTTTTTTAACGAAACTCGTTATAGCACCCGCTGAGAAATATACTATTTTTAATCACGTGACGGTGCTATCTTTATTTTCTTTAACACGTTTGATTCAAACGTTCTTAACGTTTGATGTTACAGGGTCATATTTTAAAAATAGAAATTATTTCAAAAAGTCATTCGTAAAAAATTCATCAGCAAGAATTTCGGATTCAAAACTTTAAAACAAAATGCGAAGAACTGTCTATTTCCAAATGTTTCCCGATTTTAATTGATTGTTTATATAATCATCTTAAGAAAGAATATCAGTTGATTGATCTTTATCATATTTCAGGATACTGCGTAGAATTCATGAAGAAAAAAAATATTTTTAAAACTTCAAACGCCTTTTTACTATTAAAGACGGAACGAATTCAAAATCTAGTTAAGAAGCAGACCCTTTTCAAATTTCATAAATTGTAGTTAGGTTTAATTCATTAAATGCAAAGTAATTTTTTATTATTATTATTAATTTTGTTATAAAAATGTACTGATTTTTTCGAATCGTTTTCGGAATAATATGTTTAACGTTCAATTGAGCTTCCAACTTTTAAATAAATTCAATCAACCTTAAAGCCAGAAAATATATCCAAAAGCGCTTAAAATGAAGTGAATTTATTTACCATTATTTAACTTTCTCTCTTGAAAAGTGAAAATTTTTTTAATTCTTTTCCATTCTTCATGTGTGAACTCTAATTTTTTTCCTTCTATTCCTGCATAAATGAATGATTTTTCCCTCTCTTTCCTAAAATACGCAACTTTGCCGCTAATTTTAGGCTTTCGTAGGAAATATTCGTATTATCAACTGGTGCAGATATGGTTTATAACAAAAAAAACCATAACTGTACTCGTTGAGAAATATACTATTTATGAATTTTGATATAGTTTCCGATTTTTAGAAAAGGCACGAGGAAATTTCAAATCCAATTTACAAAATACAGTTATACTTACAGAGCACCTTTTTAACGTATTCAGACGCGCCAAAAATCTGACCTTACATACGCACTCAATAAAGAAAGAGTTGAGCACGGTTGACGCACACTAGATAAGAAACCGGTTAATGTTCAGATTATCAATGATAGCGTACGACAAAATGCAAAAGTTTCAAGCAGTCTGTATGCATTGTGTATGTGTATGTATATGTGGCATACGTGTAAGTGTGAAGTGTACTCACGAGACTGCAGCCGCGCATAGTAGTACATCCCATACTACTGAAAACAAAGGGCTAAATTGATGGTGCCAGCCATCGTTGGGAACAGTAGAAATAACTGCGGTACTCTCAAAATACACGCTCGTACGAAAGGAAAACAGAGCATATAATATAGGAATGGGCTTGTCTGGCTCACCATTGAGAACATGGACTCTGATAGACGACATGTTGGCATTGCTGGGCTTGCATCTGTACTCCCCGGAGTCCGAAGGCTGCGCCGCCTGTATGAGTAGCCAAGAGGTCGTCACATCGCTGCCCTTCTCGGTTATCACGGACACGCCACCCCTGGGGCTGTCGTAGCTCATCACCACGTCGTTGTAGTACCAGAAGATAAAGGCCGGTGGCTCGAGACTGAAGTGGATCGCACACGTCAGATTTATCGTGCTTCCAGCGCCGACGTAAAGCTCAGGGCCGCCGAGTATCGCAGCCGTTGGTACTGCGTTTTGCAACATAAAACAAACATATGCACGATTCGTTAGAAACTTGAGTTGTTCACATATAAAGTGTATTCAATCTTTGTGCGCGTGCCTGTCAGCGTATATGCCAACGGAAAATTGTTTAAAACTTTTAGCATGTGGGACAAATTTTATAACGTGTTGCGTGCCTTGCTCAAGTGTTCATAAGCTACGGATGCTGCTATAAGTTTCTCTCTTGTTTCTTATAGACTTTGCTTTGATTGCGACAAAGTTAATGAGTTTTACAACTCACTTTTCCGCTAAAGAGATCGTCACGTAAAATTTTAACGTCTGTTTGAGTTGTTGCCACTGCTACTACTGACTCGTTCAACAAAAAAATATATATGGGCTTTATCGCGTCAACTGTCCCCCCCTCTTGCATGGTAGTTGGAATTTGATTTTTGTGCTACCCCAACCTAAAGTAACATTTTGCTCAGGCTGCGCAAAACCAAAACGTTACTTTAGGCTTGGGGATTCGCAAAAAAATGTATTTGCACCTATGTAGCGAAAAATGAAAGTCTCAGAGCACGTGATTATCAACCTCGGCTTCGCCTCGGATGATAAATTACACGTGCTCTGAGACTTTCCAGATTTTCACTCCGTAGGTGCAAAATATACTATTTTCATATTTTATTCTGCTTCCCAAGGGTGCATATGAAGAAATTGTTGAAAAATGATATGTAAAATTTGATGAGGAATTCAAATTTGAAGTCAAAAATCATATTCATAACCTTGAAAATCCCTAAATTACCAAAAATCAGTCTCAAGGCCAAAAATAAACATGTTTGTATTCACTTATTAGGCCAATATTGTAATATGTTCATTGATACATCAAAATACAATTTCTGATAAATTTTGGTCGTCGGCAGATAAACAGACTTCATTATTGAGCATCATATGAGTCAAGAATCAAAGAAAATTAGAGAAAAACCATGTTTTATTGACACTCATATGATGCTCAATAATTAAGTCTGTTTGCCTGCCGATGACCAAAATTTATCAGAAGTTGTATTTGGATTTAAAGATGAACATATTACAATATTGGCCTAATCAGTGAATACAAACATGTTTATTTTTGGCCTTTAGACTGATTTTTGATCATTTAGGGATTTTGAGGTTATGAATATGATTTTGGATGATAAATTTGAATTCCTTATCAAATTTTACATAAAAAATCATGTTTCGACAATTTTTTCATATTCACTATAAGCAGAATAAAATATGAAAAATCAAATTCCAACTCTGATCCAAGAAGGGGACAGTTGACGCGATATAGCCCATTATACAGACGAGACTTTTACGTATACTGGACGTTGGAGCCCAAAACTAAATGATAAGTGAGAAAATTTTGCACTCTCGGGGACTTGTTAACTGATTTTTTCCTTGATCTTTTAAATTCATTTTGGGTGTTTCACTATACTTAATTATTGTACTATTATTTTGTCCGACTCACCGACAACGTTCAGATGATACTGGTGCGATTTCAAAGGAATCGTTGAAATTTGACACTCATAGATGCCTTCATCTCGTTCCTGAGCCCATTTGATGCACAGTGTCCATTCTGACCACTCATTATTCGATCCGGAATTTGGTTTGTGCAAAACTTGAAACCGTTGATCACTCGTGTACGTATACGCGCCAGCCGTCAATATATGGATATCTCTGTGCCGTACCCAAGATACCTGTGACAAAAAGATGAAATAATCCATTTTATTTTATTGAAATTGAGTTCCGTAGTTTCTTTTATTTTATTTATAACTAAACACTTCATTGATTTTAAGATTGATATTATACATTCATTGAATTTTTTGTATATTTTATTAACTATTTGTTGATATTCAAAGGACTGGATCGTTCATTTAAATTTCTTAGCTGGTGTTCAGATTATTAAAATGTGCATCTTGTACTTCAATGATTGAAAATAGTATATTTCTCAACGGGTACACATATGGTTTTTTAGCAAAACGAGGGATTATAGCACGAGCCGAAGGCGAGTGCTGTAACGAGTTTTGTTAAAAAACCATATCTGCACCAGTTTGAGATACTATTTTTTCCTACGAGAGCCTAAAATTAGCGGCAAAGTTGCGTATTTTAGGTTAGAGTGGGAAAAAAAAACTTTTGTTTATCATGGGATTATTCAGGACTGAAAATTTTCAAACATTTTTAAAGGTTAGGTTTGGAAAAAAATAGCTTGCAAACTTGTAAAAAATAATATTAAAATCCTTCATTTTTATGTATACACATTTGTCTATCATATCTTTATTTATTGTTTAAGGTTTGCATTTAGTTACAAAACCGGAAACGTGTCTACGCCTTTAACAAGACGAAGAATTATAGGAAAACTTTAACTCTTTTACTTTTCTTCTTTGAAGATCGAGAAAAGTGCATGAACTTTTCACAGCTAAAAGTCTCAGAGGCACATCACACACAGTTTTTCTATACTTTTGCCGTATGTTTACCGCAATTTTATTTGTTTTTTTTCTTCTGATATATTTTTCACTTAATTTATGCTTGCTTTACTTACAAAACATTTAATCGCGTAACATTGCTATTTTTACATGAATGCGCTTGAAAAGTTACATTTTTATTTTTCGTTTTCATTTTTCAGCTTCATTGCTTAATTCACTTTAAAATAAAAAAAGAAAAATAAGACAGAGAAAGAAAGACAAAGTTGAGCTCTGCGAGAATAGCACGAAAGTTGGTTACGGAAAACTCGTCGAATCCCAATAACACGACATGAAAGAAAACCATAAAACGAGGGAAAAGGTGAGAGGTGCCTAACCCGTTCAGCGTCATAGAAAATGGATGAGAAAATATCTCCACTGCAGTTTAAGCACATTTATATATATGCGGTCGGGTATGAATATATGCAAAAGTCAAAAAGTCGAAAAGAGAGGCCGCTTTGTCCAGTAACAGCAAAGAGTAATCTTTTCTCAACGACACTATTTCAGAAAAACGTAGAAAACGGGAGCTTTATCTCGAGAAATGCGAATTCTTTCATCTTACTCACATGTGAGTATAAGAGAATAACGTATACCCAAGAATTTTCTGCGAATATGTGTGCATGCATGTGTGGGTGTGCATGAGTGTGGGTGTAAGGAGACAAAGGAAATATTTCTTCTCGGCTTCAGTTTTACACTCGTGGCTGGCTTTGAGTGCAAAACTTCTATATATACAGTAACTCTTGAATCACTTGCGGCATTGGAAAACGTGCTCGTCGTAACAAGTATTAACCACTCGAAATGGCTGATTCGACACCTTTTGTATATATCCACTTATATATCTATGTACTTCATGTAATGGTACGTACATATATATATATGCATTCAGACATCTCTTATTCTCTTGGTCACTTTTCACAAACTCAATTAGTTTACAATGCTCCGGAGAACTGAAAGAAACGAGAGCAGGAAAGATAAGATAGAGAGGGAAAACAGCTCGCTCATTGGAATATTTGAATATACCAGACTTTGTTTTCTAATTGCAATTGAAGCCTTTCCCGGAGATGGGTTAAATCGTGTTTCCTTTCCCTCTTTTAGCTGTTTCATGAGTTGTACGTGTCTCGTTATTTCAACATAAAATATCCTCTCAGACTTACAATAGCGCTTAATGAAATGATATCTTGATAATCTTAATGAACTTTTGTTTCAATTTTCAGTGCTACTTTACTCACATACCAATTACCTATTTTCATCCCTCAACTGCTCGTTTCAATTAAATAGATGCGAAGCGAAAATAACTCGGTAAATGTGCAGTTAAATACACTCGTATGTACGGGTGTAAAAGAATTATTTCGTGCAAAAAGGAAAGGTAGCCAAATGTAATTATTAATCATTTCCAACTTTTAAAAAGAGCAAATGGATATCGTCGCCCAGCGCAGGAAGGTATCGTTTCGAATTCTGCAGTATAAAGGATACTTACTCGCGCGCAGAGGCAAAACGGTAGCTAATTCGAGCGCGGCCCTAAAACAGTACCTTGTTCAAACGCAGTGGCAAGAATGTTTTGACTCGCTGAATTTGAGTTGGCAACGAAGCCATAAATGATAAAATTTTGTTCTGTATTTGAGCAAAAAAAGAAAGAAAATTATGAGCTGCTGTAAAGATTTTAATCTGCTTGTAATGCGAGCAAACAAATAAGTCTCATAGTGATATCGACTAAATTTGCCACTTATGGAGAATTTTGTAAGCTCTGAGAGGAAACTAGAAGTGATCGTCTTTACGTAACTTTGAATCAAATGTTGAATATTGAATTTTGATACTAAATTTTATCATTTCAGGCTGCGTTGCCAACTTAAATTCAGCGAGCCAAAACTTTCTTGCCACTGCACTTGAAGAAGGTACTGTTTTGGTGCCGCGCTCGAATTAGCTACCTTTTTGCCTCTGTGCGCGAGTAAGTATTCTTTATGCTGCACAATTGAAAGCGATACTTTCCTGAGCTGGAGCGACCATATACGTAACTCAACACCAACATATTCATGTGGTAACTGATATTTTTATCTCAATTTTTATTTCAAAAGCAAAAAATTTATCTGATAATATATATTTCCTTTATATTTAATATAGACTGATTTTTATTCATTTTATACTAGTATAGCTTAGTTTGAAATTTTCAATACTGAATGGAAAATTTTGAAAGGCTTGTATAACATGGCAGTTTTCATCTGAATGAGTTTACTTTCATAATTATTTTTGAGGTTCGTTGAGCATCAGCTATCGACGGCCGACGAACGTGTGGTATGCTAAACTTTTCCCACGCGTCATTCGTCTTCTTTATTCTTCCGAATAAGTTGAGACGCGAAAAAGTTTTCATCCTCTTCATATAGACGGACTTTTAAGTCTCGTTAATATTCGCTTCCAAAGCTATCAGTCATTCTTCTCTTTTTCCCCCAGAGAAATAGGAGAGAGAAAGAGAGAGAGAGTGAGAGAGAGAGAGATCGACCGACATTCTTGGAATTTCAGCTTCGCAGCAGGGTGACTTATCGATTCAACCCGTTTTTTCCGTCTGCGATTAAAGAACACCCTTGTCGTCGCGTCCAGCGCTACAGACAACGAGACGCTCGCTAGTGCGCGCACACGGACTTGTCGGTGAATGATGAATGCCGATCTTCGCCGAACCAATCTTCTATGCGTCTTGCGCCGAAGTATAGCTCCAGAAAAACGACCGATGCGCAAATGGCTTTTCGTACTGACACACTAACACTCGCATGCGCTCCCCGTCATGTCTTGGTACGTATATGTGTAGCACATTAGCTGAATATTGATGTAACCACAGACCATTTTTATGAGAGCAAAACCCTCTGTCTCGACGAGTTACATCGTTGAAAAACAAAAAATGACCCCTCATTCTCTATTAGACATTCACTGAGTTAATAGAATATTTTTCAAACAAAGAATTTTAATATTTCCTACAGATTTTACTTGCTGGTCAATAGATTCGGATATCTCTAATGAAATCTAGAACGGGAAACTCCATCAGCTAGAAGACACAACGAAAATTAAGAGCATTTTTATAATTATATTCTCGAAAAATTCAGGTATTATTCAATTTTCATATATTTGCATGCTTTGCGATAAAAGATAAACCCAAAAATTTGACATGCATGCAAAGGATGCATGCTTAAAAAGGGAAATGTAAATGCATGTATTATTTTTTGAGATGAGTAGCGATAGCATACAATGGGTTATACGACGTGGCGTGCACTTAATCGTTTCATATTCTCCTTATCGTTCGTTCGAAATATACGTTTTATTTCATTGGCTTTGTCAAATATTCGAGTTAATTCTGCAAGTATGTCTCAAGGAAGTCGGTAAGCCGATAGAGGAAATAAAAAATTTTTAAAGTTTTAAGAAAATTGAAAAAATTTGCGTTAAAAGAAAAAGCAGTATAATAAGCTATTGCAGGGGAGTTTCAAAACTGTCCACGATAGTGCAAAATTGTCAAAATACTTGGCGCAAGAGGTTGGCTTCGAAGCGGGAAAAATAGAACAAACTTGCGAAAATACAAGTTTGTATAATTCACTCGTCAGTTTGGCTGCTCACATACGCCGGCTCTCACGTAGGCGCAGACGTGTGGCGTGGGTAGCTGCTTTACATACGTAACTCCGCGCTGCACGCAAATTCGCACGGAGGCAGATTATTCTCGCGGCTGAACAAAATACACATAATTCCCCCTTGAGCCGTAGCGCGCGCCTTTATGCACATCCGATTTCACCGCTTATATTCGCCGACGCGCACTCGCGGCGCCGAATCAGTCAGCAGCTAAAAACTGAATACCTTTTGCGGTTCATCTTTCTATACGTGTATTATATGCTCGTTCGAAAGTAAGAGCAGGAGAATCTAAAGCAGCATCAGCTTAATGGAGTCAGCGAAGCACATAAAATGTGCCCCAACAACGATCTCTTGATTCACACTGCTGCAGCTAGCGACGCCCCCGCCCCCGGACCATACTGCCGCCGCTGCGCGCTAATACTGCTGCTGCTACTATTCGTTCTACCATTCAACATCTCATGCCGTGCAAAACTTTACATACGTAATCGTGTCTTTTCGTAAAGCAAACTTCATCTGTGAGCGGTGGCGCAGTTTTCCATGCGAGAAAACGCTGTAGTAATAACATTTTCGACTAGCATGTATGGATCTGGGAAGCAGAGGCAGCCGCAGTAGCAGCAGCTCAGCGTTGTCACGGC